AACCTCGTCAGTAAAGTGAGATTCCTTAGCTCAAGACCCTTTTGCATAAAATGAGACTTTTCTCTCACTCTCGAGCCGTCTCAGTTAGACAATAGAACGGGACTTAAAGTGAGGAAAGAAGGGTTCCTTATAAAGTGTCGTTTGATAAGAAAAGGGTCTGTTAGTTGTAACATGTGTCTTATAAGCCATGGGCTTTACTGGAACTTTCTTATAACGACACACACACACCGACCAATACGATCCAATCACTCACATCACCTCCAATATAGATATATATATCCTATGAACTTTTGTCAGGGTTATTATGTACATGAATTGTCATTTTTGGTTTAATGAATATTAGGGAGAAAACTCGAGTGGTAAGTGCTTAGTTAAGATGTGTCATAACATGGGGCAGAGTCCTGCATCGGGTCGGGTACCCGACGGGTGACCCGCAAAAAAAGTGATTCGCGGGTGGTATTTTTTCAAACGCTTTTTTCTGGGTTCGGTTCTGGGTAAAACAAAGATGATGCGGGTCGGGTCGCGGGTGTTGCATAATAAATACATTTAAATAATAATAATGTAGTTTAATGTTTAAATCCTCAGACCTCTCCCCCGCGGGACCGTGCATAATCATAACCTCTGCAGCGCATCATCTGCTTCTGAGCGCGCCACATTCTGAATGGCTGAGGTGAAGCTCTCTAGCGGAGAATACAGCATTTTCCAACACTTCCTCAAGAGCGAAATCCAACGTCTGGGAGGCTTTTGGTGTCCTCCTAGATGGAGAGAATAACCAACATCCCACGGCGCTTTTTGAGAGAAATATGCAACTGCGTGTGTTAATAATTGCACGTTTTCACTGCTCATATATATATGCGGGTTCGGGTCGGGTTGCGGATCCTGTGCCGACAGGTCGGGTCGGGTTGCGGAACTAATTGGTAATATGTGCGGGTAGCGGGGCGGGTTCGGTACTGCACGTCACGGGTGCGGGGCGGGAGCGGGTCTTGAAATCAGACCCGTGCAGGACTCTGCCCTGGAGTGAGATGAGTCTTTGATACTGGACAGTTTTTGTTTTATTCTCATCTAAAAACAGAGGGATGATAGCTCATACAATAGAGATAAAAACTGTCCAGTATCAAAGACTCATCTCACTCCAGGGCAGAGTCCTGCNAATTCAGTCTTCCCAGCTGTTTAGTCTATCTCCCCAAATATGTTGATTACTCTCTCGGAACTAGTTAAAAGGTCTATCGAGAGAGGCTCTTCAGAATTGACGTGGCAACTCTACCGTGCAGTCAGACCTCTGACTCTTGACTTGTTTTGTGAATCCTCCGGCCGAAGCTCCCAAATAACCCATCAGTGTTTGCCATCAAAGCTCCAGCTCTCCCCGTGTCTCCTTTTGAGTCGGTGACTCCTCCTGCATTGCTACACAGAAGTTTCCCCCACACTCAGAATATAAAGTCCTGGAGCGCCGTTCCGGTGCGCTCGGGCCACATTATGAGCGCTGTTCTCACAGCGAGGGGGTCTCTTTGCAGGCTGTGGCATTGATGAGAGCGGCTGGTGCCGACTCTTCTATTCAAAGTATTTATAAAACACCTTGTGCTTACAGAAAACATTTTTACCAGGAAATATGATTTAAAATGTGCCTTTTCTGGTCAAAGTCTGATAAATTCTGGCTAATGGTAACACTGCTTTAGACATGCTTGTATAATTAAAGATATTATCTTTTTTTGCTCTAGCAATGTTAGACTTTAGTCTGCCAGAGGGTGTTGGTCTCGCCTTTATCTGCAAAATGTTCCTTTTCAGTCACATTCAGTGTCTGACAGGCAGTGCCATTTTCTCTGCAAACACTGGATTTGCTGACATTTCACTGTTGAGACTTACCCAGCTGGCCTCCATTGAGTCCCATTGTGTAGACAGCCTCCCTGGTCCACAGCACTGTGTGGAACCTTCCTGCTGCGACTCCAATCACGGTCCTGCCTCTCAGCGTCTTGGAGAACACCTACATGTACATACATAGCATATCACAGGCACATTTAAACTGGAGTATACACACTTTAGGAGTCTTTTACACATAAAGTGCAAGATAACTATCACGTGCTAGTTCAAAGGGTGGTGATTTATCGTAAATACTCAGTGCAAGTTATTCCACATTTCCACGTCTCAATCTGTGTTATAATAACTTGAGGGAAGCTGGGAACAGAGAGATTGAAGTGAGCAAAATAAGTGAAGCACCAAAGAGTTTAATCATGGTACCAGTAATGGTAATGGAAGATGCTAACCTCATCTTGGAAAAAGACATGAAAATTAGTTGTTTTTCCAGTTTGTGTCTATAGTAAGCTTTACGGTAAAAGAGAGGGTAAGAACTGACTTAAAAATAAAAGTGACTCTCTAGTGAAAGTGATTACTATTTCACATTTTAATAATTGAAATAATTTATAATAAATAAACAAAAATAAAACAATTAAATAACTTAAAAGACACAATCCTGCAAACTGTATTTTAGAGATAATTTGGATTACTTCTTTGCTAATAATTGGTCAAACTTAAGAAAAACAAAGACTCAATTTCAAAAGATCAAAATGAAAGAACACCATTTCCCAGTGTGATTAGAAAACATCCCGTTTTCACACATCAATTTGACTAATGGATGACAGCAGACAAACTAATCACTTATACAATATGAGGACATTCTCATATGGAATCTCAAAGTGAAAGCCCTCTAAGGGTCCGGACACACCAAACTGCCACCAAAGAACACGTTGCACTGGAACACACCGCAAAGACTTCAGCCGACGGCCAAGTAGCACGTACACACTACGCATTCGTGAGTGGCAATAACTCTCCTTACCAGCAGGTGGCTGTGTATTCGTCATTCAAAGGAGGCAACCGGAAAATAGACTGCTTGATATATAAAAAAACAACAAATAGCATGTGCGTTCCATTTTCACTCTCGTCCATCACAGACTGTTTCACATAGCAACTTATAATCGAAAACATGTTTAGTGCGGTACTGGCGGTATCAGCCCTTGGACTGTTGCTTGTGGAAGCAGATAGCAAGAGGCGGAAGCTGAACAGCCAATCAGAGTGATTTCTTCTGCTGACAGCCTCCGCTCCCGATTCAACAGGTTCAATCGGGAGCGGAAGGTGTATGACACACCAATCTGAGTAGGGCGACAGATGTGGCCAGACATCTAACGACGGCCGAAATCGGCTTTGTGTGTCCGGGCCTTAACATGTCACAAACGAGCTGTGGTTCCCCACATTTAGATTGAAAAAGGAGGAAATAGGTATAAGAGATCGAGATCATTTTCAATAGGTATGTTGTGTACTGTGGCATAGCCTAAAAATTATCATAATATTATTGATAAGCCATTGTGTTTTGGCCTTACCGTTTCAAAAAGAAACCGGCATAATATAAAACAAAGAGCATATTGAAGAAGTTCTCATCCATCAATCACAGACAATGCATGTGACATGCACGGCAAAATTCCCTCCGCACCCTTCCTTACCCTCCCCGTTACCCTTAACCTCTCACCTGTTTGGGGACATGAGCTGAGGCAGGAGGGGGAGCCAGACCCAGCTGGTGGAAGGAGTTGAGGCCAAACGTGTAAACGTAGCCTTCCTCTGTCAGAACCACCGTGTGGTCTTTAGCTGCCGCCACCTGGGAGCAGTGGTGGGACATCAGACCCTCCACCATGCGAGGAATCTGTGGAAAGGATACAAGGAGAATATAATGAGAAATATAAGAAAAAAAGTGTACAGAAATGTAAAACAGTTCATGTTCACTGCTCCATTTGCGTTGAATAATTGAGGAACGCGGCGTTTCCTCTACATTTACTTGAATTATCACATGCATGACCTTTTAGCCGCAGGGACATTCCCTGTGTATAACATTGCCTTATTTATAACAATTTGCGGCTCATTCTAACACTCCAACGGCACCCTGACAGCAGGAGCTCTGTTGTGTGACACGTCTGTATTTTTCTTACTGTTACAAAGTAACCAAGAATTGCCTTTGTATAAAAGCCTGGTTTATTAAATGTTTTATGTGAGGGACTGCGGATGGAAATTAGCTCAAAGCTAAATCTGGCACTGTTACGCTTGACACGTTGGAATGTTTTAAGTGTTCATTACAGTGCATTGTCCCTGCCAAATAAACGATTAAATGAAAAAAAAAATGTAAATCCTTTCTACCATAGTGCAGCTCCATTGTTATTGAAACTATAAGAAGACATCAGTGAGCTCCCCTTTACACCAGGTGATATGCTCCTACATTAACATGGGCACAGTAGTTCACTTTTCACAAATTACCACATGTGCTCCACCTTAACAGATTAAGAGATTTTCACATAAATCCCAGCCACCCCTGCATGCCATGCCTGAAAAATGTCATGTAAGTTCTAAGAGTAAATATGAATTTCACTTAATCATTGTTCCCTTTGCAAGACTAAGACCATTTTATTTGGTACACCTATAAAATATCAAAATCTTTTTTAGCTGTTCCACACTCAACTACTTATTGAGGTCCTTGTTAGTCATGGTGTTGTACTGAACAGCATTATATTAAGAAAGTATAATTCAAATGTTCAACCCCCTGCATCTTAAAGGTCCCATGTCATGCTTTTCCGGTTATTACCCGTCCCCTTCTGTGTTATAAAGGTTTGTATGCATGTAAACGGTCTGCAGGGTCACAAACCCTCAAAGTAAAGCCTGTAGCGAGTAAAACTCTAACACAGAAAAGACCTGTCTGTGCTGCCCCAGAACGCCTCTTTGGAGATTTCTCTTTTTCCATTTTTTTCTTCCTGGTCATAGTGACTGAC